TATTCGACCTAAATGTCTAATCCATAAGGCAGTGGAGCAAGGTTAGGAGATGCAGTATAATGGTAGTCAGTGATCAACAACAGGTTCATACGCCATTTATGAACCATTGGTTTGGAATCAGGGTTCGCCAACTCCTTTAGATGGATCCTCCGTATCCGCCAATCCAGTTAAAGTGCCGAAGGTTCGGTTTTCGTCCTCTCAATTTCATTAACAACAATAACGCCACGAGCAAGCAGTAAGTAGGACTTCTTTTCCAGTAGTTGTACGCACGTGGTCATGTGAGAGCATTTCGAGAGGGAGTGCAGACTCCCCCCACTCTCGGTGTTAAGTTTTTATTGTAAGTTACAATTTTAAAGAAATATATACATCCAGAAGATATTCTCTCAAGATACACATACGCCAACATGAGTTGATCTAATGCAGTCTTAAATATCCGCAGTGACTCTTGGAAAATGGCGATAACTCAACTCAGAATAAAACTGCAAAATGAAAATACACTGTCACTAAATTACGTTTCAATCACCACTGAATATTATTGATCAGAGAATAGTATGTCGTAATCAAAGCATACTACGTTGACCATATTTTGAATGGATAGTTCTTTATGAAGTACTTGAAAAACAAACTAGATGTTCTCAGAATGTAGCTGCAAAGCCCAAGAAATAAGTTTTTGAGACAGGACATGAAAAGTCCTTTTTTAGTAGTTTTAAGTATGTTAACCTCGTACTTTAAAGAGCTTTCCATCAGCTACGGAAATATATGAGGCGAGATAAGATATACCACTTTCAGGGAGAACGTGGAATCGCCGAAGACGTTAGTTATCTGCGATAAACACCTTACTGGTGTCACATACAAGTAAAACCAGCAGTACGACTTCGTACTCAGACTTTAAGATAATAGTTTCAGTCTAACCATATTGCAAACGACCTGGCTGACATGATAGGACGTAAAAGAACGAATATTCCAAGCAACATAGCTCAACCGTGTCATCACAATGACAAAGGTAGTCGGTACTTCCTGATCAATACATGCGATGTGAACAGAGAAACAAAAGCCTTGACAAACTAAGGGAGCTATTTTTGAGGACGTTATTTCACTTAATTCAATGCTTGTAAAACACTACCATTCAGTTTTGTTCCTAGTTTACTCTGCAAAACAAAAGCTTTCGTTTGATTCACTGCAATAGCCTTTTCTGGTCCAAGCTATTGTAACCTGAACATTATCTTCTGCAATTTCCAGTTTTGAACGTAATTGTAATTTTCTAATTGTTTTTGTGTTGTAGTCATGTTAGTGATCTATATTATCCATGTATACTTTTGCACTGATGTGAGTCGGAACTAGGGATAAATCGAATAGTAATCTAATAGTTGAATTCATGAGTCAATTAAAGCTAGACCACCATGGAAAACCTGGAAGCACTGGACGACCGTTTTTTCCTGGTATGGGATTCCTCAGCAGTGCACATCCACGATCCCGCCTCTTGAGATTAGGACCCATTGGTAAAGGGAGGCACCAAATTTATATATATGGTGTTTCAGTTGACTCGTCTTCTCTCTCTCACGTGCTTGTCAGCCAATCAGATGATAGAATAGTTTTCATCCGCCTACCACAAGCAGTTAGTTTCACTTCGAACTCACGCATACTAGCCTCAGGGATAAGCCAGTCAGCCTACCGTGTCAAGACTTTAATCTAGATTGAGACAAGTTATCTTCTGTATATTACTAGGTGAACAGATCAAGGACGTCATAACATGTATCCCAGCCTCGACGTTGATTATGACTAACTGACCAGTATACTCGTACACACTGTACGCTTATATTCTTAACTTGTAGGTCATCAGTTATCATTTTAAATTCTCCAATTACAACAAAATGACTATCTTTAGCTCATCATGCTTTTCCAATTCATAGACAGTTTATTGATGAAAACTTCACTTTTGTTTATTAAATATATTTAGCTTTAGAACTGGCAAAAAAAATGATGACGATAGAGAAAACTGTGGAATGTGATTATGTATGAAAAGATGTGAAAGAAAAGTAAGAGAAAAACAGCTCATAATTAGTTGAACCACAAAATATAGTGTCAACTAGTTTAATCTCGTCTAATTTTCTAGTGTTTATACATAAATTCTAACTATTAAATGCTAAAATAAATAAAAAATTTAATAGTTGAATTTATGAGTCAATTGAAGCTAGATTACCATGGAAAACCTGGAAGCACTTGACGGCTGTTTCGTCGTAGTATGAGACTCCTCAGCAGTGCGCATCGATGATCCCGTTCCGCAGGATTCGGAACCAAGACTTGGTGTTCTTGTGCGCGAGCGACGATTTGTTGTTCAAGTAGATGATTTTCATGGAGTTCTGTTCTCTGAGCTGGACGATTTGGTCAAAGAGCTCTCATCGTTCTTCTGAACGACATCATTAGAGAACAAACCTCCATCAAAAAATGGTTACTTTATAGAACGCAACCATAAAATAAAACAGGGAGAATAAACCATAAACGGAGAAAGTAACTAAAACAAACCAACAACCGACAAGAACGTAAAAAAAATAAACAAGATCATATTTCGTTGAAATGTTATCATAATCAGTTAATTTATTTAAACATAAACATAGGTACAAGAAGGCACCAAATAGATATGCGCCACATAAATCATTCGATTTGTGTGAGTGGGATACTGCCCGGATGCCCAAACCGAAGCAGGTGATTTTCTGAGGAGGTCACACCTAGAGCCTTTGACCTAAAGGTCTAATCCATAAGGCAGTGGAGCGATGTCAGGAGATATAGTCTCATGGTAGCTGGTGACCAACAATTGGTTCATACACCATTTGTTTCCTTAGGATACTGGAGTCTATGTGCACCATTGGTTTGGAATGAGGGTTTTCCAACTGCCCTAGCCGAACCCTCCTCATCTACCAACCCGCTTAAAGCATCGGACATTCGCTTCTCATCCTGTCGATTTCGTAAACAACATCCTCACCACAAGAAGGCAGTGAGTAGGACTTCTCTAGCAGTGGTTGTATGCACGTGACCATGTGCGAGCATTTCAACAGGGAGAACTCACTCTCCCCACTCTCGGCCGTACAAGGGCATTATAATCAATCAATATCCAATAAAATGTGTTTGCGCATCATTTTACCCTATTTCTTTTTCAGTTGTTCACAAATAGTCGGTGAGATTATAAATTTATAAACAAATCGAACAAATTTAAGAGAGCAAATTTTAAATTTTAGCATGATAGATTGATATCAGTTCGTGTTGGAAAAGATTCAATCTCAATTCCAACTATTGTTATTCAACTAACTGTATATCTTAATCTTAATTCTTCATAGTAATGGATAATCCTAATAAGTAGATAATCACTCTTAAGGTCATTTTAGTTTTATTCACAAGTTATCCATCAAATATTCAATTCATTACCAATTTATTTGAGAAAGAAGTGTGAAATGAATTCTAAGAGAAAAGAGACCGGTTTTCGTTCTTTCTTTTGTTTTTTTTTTCTTCTCTTTCCTAATTCTATGTTTATTCCAAACAACAACAACAACAACAACAACAACAACAAAGAACTAATAGAGTATAACTTGAACAACAACGACAACATAGAAATTAAAAACAACGTGAATTGTGATTATACGGTTTATTCAACAAATCAAACTGAATTACTTAAGGTTAGTAGGGTGACAAGAGGGTGATTAATAAGCGATAGTAATTACAATAGTAATAATAGTAGTAATAATAATTATACTCTTCGTGATATACATGAGTGTATACATGTATAAAAAGGAATTAGTGGCCTCAAATCAAAAATGAACATAATTCATTAGCTCAGTATTCATACACTACTAATGTTTGCCTTAATTACCTAAATATATATATATGTGTGTATGTATAAGAAAGAGATGATCTTGTCTGCTTCAGTCAAAACAATGTAAATAATGAAGATTTTAAGAAAAAGGATTGGTATGCTATGTCCACGGAGGGGCGGAGACCAAACGGGACAGTAAACAGGAGGGGAAGCGAAATAAATATTGGAAAACAACTACACATAACTATAGTGCGATATTGATTATTCGATTTTCACTGTGAGAAAAAAACAAGCGAACAAATAAACCCAACAATATACATTGATTATTATTTTACAAAATATAATATCCCTTCATCCTCATGAAGAGAACAATATAGGGAATAAATGATTAAAGCGTATCGCGGAAGTTGAAATGATATAATAACTAGAAAAAAAAAAATATATATATATAACAAGAGTACGATTGAAATATACAATGACAACATGAACCAGCCCCACCACCACCACCAACAACACAGGGTCAATCGGTTTAATGAAAGAAAAAAATGAAAAGATTAAAGAATAATTTTACATAAGTTTATGCAGAATAGGAGTTCGATGAAGAACCCCGGTAACAGACGTAAGTAAGTGTACATACACATACACACACATACATACATACAATAAAGAACTATTAGTTAATTATTAACTAAATATCATTAAAGTGAATATGATTTAAAATACAATAAATCCCATTGAAATAAATTATGAAATTACTTATATTACATAATTTTTTTGTGTGTGTATAGAAACAACAATGATATTTAGAAGAGTTGAATATTTTGTCTTATTCACTTTGTTTGTTGAATAGTGAATACAATAAAGTTTGTTTTTCATGATTTCGTTACCTTTAGTGATAGGGAGTATTTTATTTGACTTGAGGGGGAGGGACATGAACACAAACATATATATATATGTCGATGTCCAAGTGGTAGTTCCCCACCCCCCACCCCAAAAAAGATGTCTAAATATATGTAATGTAGGTATTCGAAAGTTTGTGAATTACAGCATTATCCAAGTAGAAATGCTACATGGTTTATTATGTGCATTATGTTATGTAGAATGTACAATAACCAAAAGGAATAACAGTAAAGAAATGAAATTTATTAAATAATAATAATAATAGTAGTATTTGTAGAAGGATAAAAACATTCATTCAATCGACACCTTCAAATCCTTCAGCATTTTCAATAGCAATAATTAATTTACAACGTAACTCTTCAAATGTTGGATAGGCGGGTAAGTCTAAACGATTAAAACTGTGAAATACGAAGAAAAAGAGGGAAAAAGAGATGAGAAAAAACACACACACGCACAACAACGTTAAACAAAATGTAATGAAAACATTACAAATTATTCAAATGTGTCGATAATGAACAAATTTAAACACATGACGAACGCTTATACCGTTTGTGTAAAGGATACACTGAGTGATACTATATGAGTGCCATCAATCGAAAGCCAATATAATGAAACTGGAATATACGATCTATTGTCGATAACCACAGTCAGTGGTCAGAGATGCTCACCGAGATGGTGCCGCATTGGTCACAATGATGTACATCCGGCATTCATTCTCTATCATCTCCTTTAAAGGAAGGGTTCCAAAACTCCTTCATATATACCCTTTCATTCTGTCATATGGAATCATATTCTGTGTTCAATCTTTTAAATTATCATTGTTGCTACATTAATTCGATTAGTTCGCTACACATCTTGTTAATTTTATCTCATTCTCATATGATTTAATTACCTAGGTCAACAAACAGTTATGTTCCAGGCTCTATGGCCGATATATTGATCAAATACGAACGTCCACAGAAAGATGAAATCACTCGTTGGCGAGATATGATTAGCGGAGTTAGTGCCTGATACCGATGTGTCATTCACATGATCAATGTCAGATAATATCTTTTCTTGTAATTGTTATTGTTACTTTATTGATCTATTTTCTTACATGTTGAGGTCGCCCTTTAGAACAACAATATCTGTGATCTTTGAACTGCATGCATCAAGATTAGTCATAGTTCTACCAAAGATATAAGAAAGCTAAGGGGGGCCAAAATGAAAACATTGCATCACCACATTGACCGCTACTATACAAAAGAGACCTTTTAAAAAGTCAATCTTGAGTGTTGTTAGAGGTATGCGGGTGGTTATCACTTCCCGGTCTCATACACCGTGGAAGGGCTCCTCTTCTACAGATCTTCTAAATCTTAATGACCTGAGTGACCGCAGTGTCCAAAGGACGACTGCTTAAAGTCAGTCACACACGAAGTTTTGTGTTAGCTCCGTACTTGTTGAGACCTTACCGACGGAAACAGAAATCTGTGGGACAAGGCGAAATGTGCATTTTTAGGGTCGACCTTTCCTAACCCTTTCCTTGCTTTGTAGAAAGTCAGCATCGCTATCATGCTGATTATCTGAGGGAAACATCTTACTGCCATCAAACGTCTATACAGTCAGCAGTACGACTTCGCCCTCGGACCTTGGAGTTTGCTGCTTTTAGTTTTACCGCTCTTCAACCGACCTCCCTGGTATGGTAGGACCTTGAGAAACGACTGTTCTAGCCAGCATAGCCTGATTGATTTACCACGATGGGCAAGTCCAACCGCCACGTCAAGGTAGTAGCAGCGGTCGGACTTTTAGAAAAGAAAAGAAACTGTAAGATTACACTCAAAATCCATTATTAGAGACTTTGAATAACATAACTTGAAAACGACCACAATAAAGAATTCATATCATTACTTCAACTTTCCTTTAAAAATTTAAGTTTAGTGGTATTTTGTACTTCTTATTCATTAACTTCATTTGCTCTTTTAAAAGCTGCAAATTTGTTATGCTTAACGTCGCAGTGTAAAAGACATTGTGAGTTTCTTCTGTTCTGTTAGTCACCTTCTTAATAACCTCTGTCATGGTGTCAGTGTGAGATGAAAGAATTCAAACGTGATGCTTTTGTTATGTCCTATGTTAAACCACAACTGATATGCTTCATAGAAAATTATGAATCAACAGTCGGGTGCTATAAAATATTCAGTTGGTGAGGTTGTAAATCTTCACCGAGATGGTTGGGCCTGATTACCACGACGTGCAATGCTAACCGGCGTTCGGGATGGTTGGAAGAAAGTAAGGGGCGGCCAAACCAAAACGTGGCATCAGTGTTTGAAGTCACTAACTTCTAGTCTGAGCCATGTTGGTAGATGCAGACTACTTGGTTGGGGTCCGTGTGACTAACGTAACCAATGGTTGGAGACTCTTTGTGACATGGCTCAGAATCGATCACAATGGCGTAGGTGTATACACTCTCTGTCTTCCCTTAAACTAAGAGATTAAAATCACTTCATATCTTTCATATCTTTCCACTAACTAATTCTTTCTTCCTGTACTATATCCTTATTGCAATCTTTCTTTTATATATTACCACGATTGAAGTAAATACTTCTATGAATTCGGTATTCCTTTTGTAGTGCTAATGAGGTATGGCAAATTGGACAGATGCATATATATGCCTAGTCCTACTTTGTAGCTGACTGACTGATTGATAAAATATCCAAATAGCTAGAAAATTAAACAATATTTTCCCTTTAAAAAAACACACGTACCAAGTATGAGCACGAGGCAGCTGATCCACGGAACCCCAACATTCAACAGTGAATTTCTGTGGTCCACTTGAACCCCATAATTCTGAAAAACCATTCATAGGTACACGTGATGTCCCAGTGACGAATTGTAGTAGACGACTTCTTAATTCATTTGTAAATGTGTATATAGCCTTTGAAATGAGAAAAGTAGGTGTAAGAGAAAAGGCATATAGATGTCGAGAGAGAATCAAGTGAATTTTAGATCGGATTGTTAACTAATGATGTTATTTACATCATTTATTTACTTTAACACATAGATATTGGTACAACGAGACACCAAATAGATATGCACCACACAAATCTCATTTGATATGTGTGAGGCCTGTGATACTAACCGGGTGCCTAAACCGAAGCAGATGGTTTTCTTAGGGGGTCAACACCCGGAGCTTTTGACCTAAAGCTGTGATCCACAAGACAGTGGAGCATCGTAAGGAGATGCAGTTCCATGGTAGCCGGTGACCAACGATCGGTTCATACGCCATTTGCTCCTTCAGGATACTGCAGCCCATGTGCACCAGTGGTTTGAAATCAGGGTTTTACAAATTCCCTAGGTGGACTCTCCATGTCTACCAACCGGGTTAAAGCGCCGGACATTTGTTTTTCGTCTTCTCAATTTCGTAAACAACATCCCAGCCACGAAAAGGCAATGAGTAGGAATTCCATGGCAGAGGCTATATACGCGTGACCGTGTGAGAGCATTACGAGAGGGGGAGCGGATTCTCCCCACTCTCGACCGTACCAGGGCATTTGGGGGATAACTAATGATGAGGGGGCAAAAACGATTCAACCATGTCTGGAGTCATGTGGTTACCCTATCAACAGTACTATTTGATAGTTGCGCGATATCGCAAACTGACTGAAGTTAGAAGCATAAACCGTTGGATGCTTTCTTAAATGTTCAAATGTTAAGTCATCACTGAAAAATCCAAAAGTCTTTAGGTTCAATCCCCAGGGACGTGTCATGGATCACCACTACTAAGGATTCCATACTAAGACGAAATAGCTACCTAGTGCTTTTAGGTTATACAATAGTCATCTTGCTACAGCTATTCTGTGATATGAAATGCTTTCCAGGAGCTTCCAAAATCTAAAAGTACCATAAATACTCTTGTTCTCTGTACACAAACTAATGTTGGAAGTAAAGATCCTTATACTTTTCCCTCCTTTTATTTTTGTATTCGAGCGTCTATGACCGCGCATTCGGGAATCGGACCGAGAAATTTCGTTTAACTTCCAGATTCCTAAATTCAAAGGTCCTAGGTTTTGTTCCCAGGGATGGGATCGTAGACGCACACTGCCGAGGAGTCATATACTAGGAGAAAATGGCTGTCCAGTAATGATGATCTAGCCAAGATCAATCCGTGATTTAAACTATGAAGACGATTGAGAATAATGAAGATACAAACCATCACCATCACCACCACCACCACAACAACAACAATTACTACTACTATTACTAATGATGAGGATGATTATATAAACAGTTATTATTATGATCATTATTATTACCTTCCATAAATTTACAATGACTGGATGATTAGCATGATATTCACCCTTATATAAAGTGTTCGCTTTCCAATCTGTTACACTAATATCTTGTAATCCACACATTAATAATTCTAATTCATTTGCATCAAATATTTGTAATGCTTCTAATGGAATTAAATCACTAAAACCTTCTAAAAAGGCACACATTTGTTTTTCAACACGTGAAACAAATCGCCAATTTATTATTCGTCTAGAAAATAATAAATAAACAAAGAAATTTGTAAAATGAGTACATGAATGTTGAATATGCTGATGAAAATTTATCAGTTGAGATGGCTGGGACATGTGTTACGAATGCCCAACCACCGACTGCCCCGATATTCGGTGTTTTATAGTGTAGAAGTAGGTTGAAAGAAAGCTAGAGGCGGCTAGATCAAAACATGACACAAATCGATGAATTCACTGACAAACAGACTGAGCCATGTTGGTATGTGTCGACTACCTACCTGGTTGGGATCCGCGAGATGATAGCAACCGATGGTTAGAGACTTTGAATGACATGGCTTAAAATCGTTTGCAATGGCGCGGGTGCATCCACTGTTTGTGTTCTCCCCAAATTATAATCTCCTGAATCCTCCTTGTCTCATTCTTCTCTTTCCAAATTTATTTCACTGGGTTATACATCTTGCATAACACCTTCAAACCCTAATCATTCCGATTACTGGTTATGCTTTCTGATGTGAACAGAGAAACAAGAAGCCTTGACAAACTACGGAAGCTATTTTTCGGGACGTTATTTCATTTAATTCAAAGCTTGTAAAACATTAACATTTTTGGCCCTAGTCTATTCTACAGAATATGAGCTTTCGTTTGATGTATGATTCACTGTCATAGCCCTTTTTGTTCCAAAGCTATTGTAATTTAAACAGAAAATTTTGTACTCTATTTTCTACACTAATCCCCAGTTTTGGACATAATTGTATTTTCCTAATTATTGTACGTTGTGGTCGGGTTAGTCATCTATTTATTCATGTATCTTTACACTGATCTGAAATCGGGAAATCAGGAAACAGATCGGAATTGAAAATAAATCAAGTAGTGTTCCAGTTGACTTGTCTTCTCTCACTCGCGTGCTTGTCAGCCAATCAGGTGATAGAATAGTTTTCGTCTCTCTACCCCACTTCAAACACACGCGTACTAGCCTCAAGGTTAAGCCGGTTAGCCTATCGCGTCAAGGTCTTAATCTAGATTAGACAAGTTATCTTCAGCACCAAAAGTGGGCAGACAGATCAAGGACGTAACACTTTTACTACCTCCACCACTATGGGATTTGAATCGACAACTGCATCTCTGTGATAATGTGGTATTGCAACTCGAACTGATGTACATACGTACGTACGTATGAAGTTCTGCGTTGTTGCTGACTGACTAAATATGTTGAGGTGATTAACAGGATTAACCAATTTTTGTTGATAATTGTTCTTCGGATGAACTTACGTCGTTATATATATATATATATATATATATATATATATACAAAGTTGTATTAAATTTAATAGTTGAGATCATGAGTCAATTGAAATTAAACCATCATGGAAAACCTGGAAACACTGGACGGCCATTTCGTCCTAATGTGTGGCTCCTAAGCAGTGCCCAACCATGATCTCGCCTCGCAGGATTCGAACACAGGTCTTATTGGTCTCATGATTTCAACTACTAAAATTACTATAAAGTTGTATTATTTCAATTTATTCCACTTGAATATCAAGTATTACTTCCACTCTGTCTTATTCATGAGTAAGGTCATAATAATTAAAATGTTGAATGCTAACAATCGCGTTCTATCCGTTTTTCAATAGAACTCATTCGTACTTTGATCATGATTAACTGGCTGACTGAAAAGAAGGAATGATTAGTACCAAAGTATCGATGACTTACCAATGATTAACAATAATTATTAATATTTTTTTAAAATAAGATCATGAACCGATCAATATTAGACCATCATTGAAAACCTGGAAGCATTGGACGACCATTTCATACTGATATGAAGTGCGCATACATGACCTTGAAATTGGGAATCGAACCCCAGGACCTATCAGTCTCATAAGAAGATGGTGGTGTTCGTTCAAAACCGGAAGTCCTAGGTTCAATTCCTAAATTTGAGATCATATCTGTGTATTCCATTGTCAGTACGAAATGATTGTCCAGTATTTCCAAGGTTTTCAATAGTAGTTTAACATTGATCAGTCCATAATCTCAACAACAACAACAACAACAAAAGTGAAATAATCAAATAATAATAAATGAAATAAATACTTACTCTATATATTGTGTTTTATTACTATTAGTAACACGTATATTTCTACCATCTTTAATTAAATCAACTTCAACTGTTTCACCAAAATGTTCTTCTTCAACAGACATTGTTAAATCTAATGATATAGGATCTTCTTTTAATATATATTTTAAACTACGATAATATTCTGAATCAACAGCTTCCATATCTTTTAATGAAATTGTTTTACCAAGCATCATTTTATAAAATGGTCTAATAAAAAATCCATCAACTAATTTACCATGATATACAGCCATACCAACAACACGACCAATAAATTTAAAATATTTTAAATGTTCTTCATTAGCCATACCAGATAGTGGATTAATTTGAAGTGTATAATTATCACTATGGATAAAAGAGAAAACATGAAGAAGGAGAAAAAAAGGAAAGATTAAATGAAGAATTCTAGGAGAAATAGTAATTTCATAGGTTACATCACAGAGACTATAATTTATGAACGACATTCAAGGGACGCTGAAGTGACCTTAAGAATGAACACCTCTTGATGATTAGAACTAAATGAGAGTTATAAAGTATTTAGAATTCTTATTTACAGTAGATGGTTACGGGGTTAAAAATTAGATTTACGATTTTTTAATCACGTACTGAAATCAGTTATAATGCTTAAACTATATTGAGCCAAATGTATTTGACTCGTTATTTGATTGGTTCGTTCGCTTTAGACAAATCACTGAAGAACAAAAACAGTGAACAGCTGTTTTATCATGCTATCAAGCTTTATTTGTTTATTTAAACACATAAACAATGGTACAAGGAGGCACCAAATAAATCATTCGATTTGTGTGAGGACTGGGATACTGACCAGGTGCCCAAACCGAAGCGAATGGTTTTCTTAGGATACACCCAGAGCCTTAGACCTAAAGGTCTGATCCACAAGACAGTGGAGTAACGTCAGAAGATGCAGTCCCATATTGGCCAGTAACCGACAATAGGTTCATACGCTGTTTGTTCCTTCAGAATCCTGGAGCCTATGTGCACCATTGGTTTGGAACCAGGGTTTTCCAACTGCCCTAGATGGATTCTCCGTGTCCACCAACCTGGTTTAGGCACCGGACATTCGCTTCTCGTCCTCTCAATTTCGTAAACAACATCCATGATGCGAGGAGACAATGAGTAGGACTTCCTTGGCAGTGGTTGTATGCACGTGGCTATGTGAGAGCATTTAGAGAGGGAGGGTTGACTGTCCCCACTCTCGACCGTACCAGGGCATTTGGTGGCTATCGCGTTTCTCAGGAATGTGTAGTCACGATCTTCCTGATAATGGAAAATAAGACCCTTATTAGGACTCTAGGAATTACTGCTCAGAATAAGTCATTAAAGAGTACATGATTATTACTATTAGTATAGAAGGGGTGATGGAGACTACGGAATTTTATATTTGGTATCATAGGATGATCTTAATTAGTTCACAATTATAAACTAAGAAGCACTGGATAGCTGTTTCGTCTTAGTATAAGACTTCTCAGAAGTATGCATTTAACGCTTCCTGGTTTGCAATGGTTATCTAACTAAGATCAGTCCGTGGTGCAAACTAAAAGAAATTTAATTATACACACAAACCCCCTATGTTAATAATAAAATAATAATTGCTTTGAAGTAAAAGGTGTTCTCTTTTGTTATTCGAACCGTAACATAACTGTTAATTATATCTTATTACTGTATGACTTGCACGTACGAAGTCAGAGTGATTAATTAATGCTTACATTACATTTAGGATAACACAACCAATGATTCAAATGGGAACGACACTTGTATTAATATAATAAATAGTTATGCAACTAGAATAAATCATCCGAATGCAAATAAGAAACTTATTAATTATTTGAGGTAGACTAGAATGAACGAATCAGAAGTTAACTGTGAATACTAACCGATATTTTCTAAACTCGGACTAATAATAGGTTATTATCTTGAAATACATAAGTCTTTCGATAAAACACTACTATATTAAGAAATAGGAAATAAAATTATGTATGGTGAAATTATATCAAAAAGGGGTCTATAAGTGAAATCAATGTCATCTAGTAGACAGGTTCATCTATTCACCTTTGAATATCGATTTTGATATAATTTCTTTTTTCCAATTAACTCATTCACCGTTTACTTTAGGTTTGTGGAGGCTAACGATACTATCCGATTGCTTGAACCGAAATAAGTGGAGGCGGGATTGGAACCCGGGACTTAGTAATTAAGAGAAAAACGCATCAACCACTGAGCCACTGTTCGATATGAAGGTCAATGAGATTATCCAACTGCATAAATAACAACAAGGTAGGGGATGTTAAAGTGCAGAGCGTTTAAAATAATACTGCGTCATTGATTTTATTGACTTTTAGCTATCGAGGATCATAAGGTTTCAACATAATTCAGCATACTAAAGTAGAGCTAATCAGGTAAGACGATTAGCTTTTGAATGAAACTAATCTGTGTACAATATTGTAATCGTTTTATGCTTTCCCCCTCAATATACTCTTTAAATGTCATTAACGGCTTCTGTATTTTTTTTATCTCATTTCAAAGATGCTCTTTACGAAAAACGGATAAATCTGCTACTGGAACTCTTATTATTGACTTCCTTATTCGCTTCTTACAACTCCAGATTACTTTTACATATCAACCAGATCAATAGGGAAAAGGCATAAAATAAGAGTAAGAGTATTATTGCAAGATCAGTTTATGAACATAAAGCCTTCGTTTTGTAGAACTTCCTGGAAACATACTAAATATAGTGATGGTGAAGGCAATTATTAGATCAAACAAGTGACGAAACATAATCTTTAATTTCTCTAAATACTTCAATTCAAAGCTGAGTGAGTAAAACATTTCCCGGAATTAATGAGCTACCAGAGACTTTGAAAAGGGATATTTTGGAACTCTCAACAAGTATATGAGTTAAGACTTTCATATATCGTGAAGAGACATTTGGTGATAATATCGATAATAAACAGTATTCATTTCTATATCTACACTTAATAGACAGTAAAGGTAGGAAATGTGATTAGAATTATGCACTTCCATATCTTTTATATAACATTGAATAATACAATCCATTATTAAACTGGATGGAAGTGCATTAATTTATTAAACCTATCCTTAATTGTTGTTTTTAAACTATATAAAAGACAACTATTTAGGGTATCGATAAACGATTGTTTTTGGTGAAAAGCTAGTAATTAATAAAGCTTAAATTTACTTTACAATAAACGTTGTGAAAAATGTTCTAGCAGTTTACCATCCTTACTACTAACTAAAAGAGAAAATATAATCCTTTACAAATAATTTAATATCCGTTAAGTCAGTCAGTCAGTCAGTAATAACTTAGAACTTCGTACGTACATATATCAGTTCGAGTTGCCATACCACATTGGTACAGAGATGCAGTTGTCGATTCGAATCCCATAGCGGTAGAGGTAGTAAAAGTATAAGCAGTAATCGGAAAGATTGAGGTTTGAAAATATTATTCAAGGAGTATAATCCAGTTAGATAAATTTGGAAAGGGAAAAAGAAAAAGGACATAAAGAATACAGAAGATTAGAATTTGGGAGAACGCAAAGAATGGATGCACCTGCGCCATTGCAAACGACTTTGAGCCGTTAAATAAGTTAGTGAATATCCAGATACAACAGTATACTGGACACCATGTTAGTATTTGAAGCAATAGGTACTAGGTTCAATTTTAAATGTGGAAATCAATACTAGGGAGCAAGTACATCTAGATGATGAATCTTAAATACATCAAAATATTGTTATCTTAGTTTCTATTATTAATTACAATCCAACTCGACTCGAAAAAATTTTCTGGTAATGAATAAATGAGTTTCAACTACAAAGTCCTAGGTTCGAACTCCATCATACATACATCATTACTTTCGGTTATGATACTCAGGTGTTGGATAGTGACTTACAGACAAAAAAAGATGGGGTTTAAATTCTAGTCCATTAATCTGTTCTTAATGAATGGATTTATCAATACATTACGATTGGTTAAGTCAACCGAATGTAGACCATATTATCCCAAGATTATAACTGAATTATTTAAGTAATAATTAAACTATAGTGATTAGAAAGGAGGACAACAGATCTGTGAAAACAGCATATTCAGGCAACATAAAATGATAACTCATAAGGTAAACAAATACAGAGAGAAAAAGAGGTAGCGCATGAAACAGTAACTTGAAAAAACACCCCTATCATTCATTTGTTTTTAAATAAAGAAAATACAAGGGATAAGATACGTATCCATGAATTTGTAGCATATACAATTATCAATGTTTAATGTGTGTGTGTTATCAAACATTTTCGGGTATATTCCCATACATTTAATGAGTAAATGCTGGATATAACAGGATAGTTTTCATAGAGGATTTCGTTTCAACCTCTACCTGTCTATTTACGTTTTTTTTATCAGAGAATTCGAAATGCGCTACAACGGCATGTTCATAGAAAGACATATGTAGTTAGCTTCAGTTAATGAAAATGAAACCGCCAGTGAAAATAATTCGTCATGGAAAATATCCTCTTATCACGCTCCTACAACAAGTAATTTTGGTATCAACCACTGCGCACTGGTTACAAGACAGTTCATAGCTTTAGTCTTAGTCCGCCTATTCCAGACCTAATGGATCCTCTCAGCAAGAAATCAGTTAGGCACATAAAGGAAACTTTTTCTCCAGGACAACAATCACGCTGTCATTTCTCTCCTCTAATTGATCAAAAATCAGATGGAGTAGGTGATTAGTCCCATTTCTACTTAACCACCCATGTTAGCTCATGAACACAGTCCATTAATTCTAGAGCACCAACATAAAGGTGTAGATCAGTCTTTGCCCCAGACTAAAACATCAAATAAATAGGAAAAATTCAATAGTATAGATCATGAGCCAACTGAAGTTAAACCACCATGGAAAATTTGGAAGCACTGAACAGCCATTTCGTCCTAAATGTGGGACTCCTCAGTGGTAGTACACATCCACGATCCCACGTCACGAGATTCGAATCCAGGATCTAACAGTCTCGCGTATGCAAGCGCTTAACCACAAGACCACTGAGTTGACCAGTATTCAATAGTGTTAATGTTTAACTTCAACTAATCCACCAAATTAAACGAATATCAAAGTGTTCGATAGTACACTTTTATTGGAGAAAAAAAAAGAGAATAAAAGTACGTGATATCTCTTTTTTTTCTCGAAAAATTTGATCAAATTTTATGAATTGAATGAATCATAGAAGATAACACATATCGATCTTTGTTCTTTTCTCCATAGTATAATAATTATATATTTAGATAGAAAGAAATTCCATTAGACTAATAAACACAAAATACTAATATATATACACAATAGATTTTAACTTTTTCTTCAACAAGTACAACCGATAGCACGAGTAGTAGTAGTAGTAGTAGTAGTGGTAGTGGTAGTAACAGCATTATTAGTTCTTAGCCGGGGGTATACACTGGACTGCTTGATAAATTTATGTAACGACAACAAGCATACTTATAGATAATAATAAATGAAAAAACAGAATAAGAATGGGGGAACAGGAGAGGGATAGAAGGAGAGAAAATAATAGAAGAATAGAAAAAATACATTACACTTTCAAGTTATTAAGTACATGAACATATAAATATGTATGTTCAAAAGTTAGATTTCTTATAATAATAAGGTACACTGTGAACTGATTTTATTGAAACAAATCAACTAAGTAACTAGAATGAATCAACCTACATTATCCTAATTAATTTTCTATATACGCATAGTAACAAGGAAAAAGAAAAGTGAGATAAACAATGTGGAGTTAAGTGTATTTCTTTATAATATGTAGTTCATACTCTTAACTTGGATACAGTTTGTTTTGTCATTGAATTAGTGAACGAAAGGATAAACATCTTTAAAATCCGATAAATACATTCACTTAATATAATATATATTTAAACATGCGTTATAAAAGTGTGAATGCGATTGTAGCTAAGACCTGTCAATAAGACGTTCAGACTCTCAAATCGTAATGACATGATCGACCTATATTGATTGGAAAATTTGTTTCTTTAGATTCTATCATGCTCGGGAGGTTGGTTGAAAAACGGTAAGACTGAATGCAACAAAAACATGGTTCGAGGATGAAGTCATACTGTTGACTGTATTGAAGTGTGACAACTGTAAGATGTTTCCCCCAGGGAACGAGCATCTGCAGTGATGCTGTATTCTCAAAATGAAAGGAAGGGACTACAAAAAAGTTCAACCCTGAAAATGTTTCCCTGATTTATGTCACCAAGAGTAAGGTTTTTTAAAGTATGGAGCTAATACATTAAAAACTCCTCACGGAGAGCACATATATGACGGGCCTCAGGAATTCTTTCAATGAACTTTACGGTTACCCTTCTAGGCCGCTACGACCACAGCGTGGGTAATCAGGGATTTACAACCCTCTACATACCTCTAACAGTGCTTAAGATACTGAGATGGAATGGATAAAGGTTTCAATTTATTTATTTATCGTTGTCTACAAGGAACTTTGGTATGAATTAGATTCTAAGACTAATGATAATACCTGGTGACCTAAGCCACATTAGGTGGAAAAGGGTCTGAAACTTGAACACCTTAACCAACAAGCATTCGCTCAAAATTGCAATTTATACAAGTAGATTGGATAGTCGGTGAGGCATAAAAAAATTATGAGCTGGTACATAAGTTCAAGGATGTCACAACTATGCATTTCAATGGAGCAGTGATATAGTGTTTAAGGGGTTTAATTTTCAGCTACCAAGTCTAGGGTTCGAATCCCATTCAACCTACTTTAGTCTATACAACCGCGTAACATCATATTTAAAATGTGGATTAGAGCCAAGTATACGAACCTGTACCGCGGTAAATGAGACAGAGAATAAATATATACATCAACATAAACGTTGTATAAACGTAGACAAACAGGTTAAATAACTTTTCATTGAAATCATGGAGCGATCCAAGTTAGATAACCTTTGGTAACCTGGATGTCTGTTTCTTAATATGGGACTCCTCAGGAGTGTGCATCCACAACCCTGCAACCTGGAATTGAACCAAGGACCTTCCGTCTCACGTGCTAACGCTTAATGTATTGATCACTGAGCCAGGGTTCAATGGTGTATAGTGGTCCAAAAGGTCCTGGGTTCAATTCAAGGTTATGGAGTCGTGAATAGAGACTGCTCACGAGTCCCACATTAGAACGAATATTCAATAGTTGTCTAACTTAGGTCGGTTCATGACTTCATTAAAATTCGACAATCTCATGCTGAATATTATAACAAGTCAAAATTAGTAGTATCAGTGGTGGTAGTAGTAGAATTAGTATAACTCATAGTGTAAATTTGATCATATGAAAAACAGTTGGCAAACAATTAGTGATAACGCGGTAAAAATAGACATGAAAAGGTTACTAAAGATGAATTTGTTCCACAATATTTCACTAAAGTTGGTCGCACAAAGGGTTTTCATAATTATAATCTGGGGAAGTTTCAATTAGAAAATGCACATATATAATCAACATAAATTGGGACAGTAATTGGACTAACTGAAAACAAGTATTGGTTTGGTTACCATTAAACATATTTTTTTAGCCCATTCCCTCTCATACTAACAGAGCAGTTAGGTGATTACAGATAATGAAGGCGTAACTCTTCAGAGACAGATTTTTTATCATTATTTAAAAACACATAAACATTGGTACAAGGAGGCACTAAATATATATGCGCCACCCTTTACCATTCAATTTATGTGAGTAGTGAGATATCTCTCAGGTGCCCAAACCGAAGTAGCTGGTTTTCTTAGAGGGCCATACCTCGAGCCTTTGATCTAGAGATCTAAAATAAAACATAATTGGACAACTCCAAGACTTCATGTTTAACATTAAAAAAACAATCGAAATCACCTGGTTACATAAACCGAAATATGCATAGATCAATTTGGAATTGTGAGTAAATGACCGAAAGTCAAATGTCGTCAGTACTATTACTCAATTACTATTCGATTTCGAGAAATCAACAATAATGAAAGATAACTAGTAATACTTAATACTCTTAACTAAGAAAATACATGTTAATGCATAATATGTACCAAAACTTCATGCATATAAATCTTCTTTTCAATAAACTAACGAACAAAGCCAACTGATGAACTAGGATTAATGTATATATTCGTATAGATATGCGCATATATACATATATACATAATTAAGACATACGCGGCTGAATATTCGAATAGACCATAATAAGGATTGAACATTTCACGTGATAATAAAAAGAACCATTCACGTTGTACACCACCATAATCTAAACCTTTTTCACCAATAAACTCAATCCATAATCTATAAAAAGCCAAAAAAGCAAAATATTAAAAAGAAAAAAAAATAGAATCCAGGCAATTAGTACTTAGTTACCAAGTTAATTTTGTAAGTAATTTTATAAATGCCATTGAAGTATTGCACATGTTTAATGGAATAATTGAATGATACATGTTGTGGTTAAACATAAAGGTACTTGACAATGGTGCTAAATTGATTGATGATATGGTGAATGTTCTACAATTTAGGTAATTAGATCATGTATTACTTTGACAGAAGATATTTGGTAGTAAAATAGTAGTTTGGATGAAACTAAGAAGGAATCAAAACGAAAAGTGGTGCCATTCTATGAAGTTATTGATTTTGGTCTGAACTATACTGATAGGTGCAAACTACTTGGTTCAGGTTCATTTCATAACCACAATAAGTAATTGGATACTTTGGATAACATGATTTAGAATCTATTAAAATGGTACAGATGAGTTTCTTTTCATCTTGGATTTCAGTATTCCTTTATACAAACGTCATTTTAAATCATATTCAGAAAGATTAATCTTTCTTCTTATCACTGCTCTACAACATTATTTCGATCTTTTATGCAATTCACCTTGTGTTAATTTCACTTCCTTATGTTAGCATAGTATGACGATATGGGTCAAAATACATCTATACCAGGCTATATGTTGATGACATCTGTCTGTTTATGAAGAATAAGATTTATTCACATGTTCAAATTCTTGTATTTTGCATAAGATAAGTGGAAATGTATGAACTTTTATACTGAAGTGAGAAGAATTTTTAGGAGATTCCTCCACATGGAGTTGATCAATAAGGTGATAAAGTAAAATTATAAGATATTTTCTCGTGTTTTATTTAGCTGGTCAATCATAGACCTTCGGAATGCTGGAGACCTTCTCTACCACTGAATTTGACTTATGGTTTTTGATTAACTCATCTAGATGGACATGGAAATCCGCTTTCTCCTCGTCATTTTCTGTGATATGTGAAGGCAGCAATTATGGTTACATTGGAAAAAAAGTTGAGATGGCATGCCTCTATGTGACAGGATTTCAAAACATAAGGAACTCTTAATCACCATCATGTGAATTATGACAATTTAAGTACAGTTACAAATGGATTGTGATAAAACTGACATTGAAACAAATGAGATAAGGAAACTATGAAGTTGGTGAGCTTCCGCATATTTTGAATACTCACTAGACGATCATAGTAGTCACCTATCTTAAATATTTGAAGATTTTACAGAGATCGAAAAGAAAACATATACTGAGGATAGCGAAACGTCTTCAACTCGGACGTGAAACTTTTAACCCTTTTCCGAGATGCCTCAGAAACCTCTACATTTAAGACCGGAATAGTATAAAAAAGGCGCAAAGTAGGAACAGAAACCTTACTTTAATGTCAATTTATAAGCAAAGAAAAGGTTATTTGTAGGTTGACTGATGTCCTCAATGCACCAAAAGCTTCTGGAAATACGTCAAATTTATTAAAATAGTAAGCAATTAGCCAATCAAGTCGTAACGCATAATATTGAGTTTCTCCAGATGCTTCTAAGAAGCATCCTTTCGATGTTGATTGAAAAAGATGTTTTTCAGCATTCACCTTTCTTCAGGAGTCTTGCTTAAAGAATTCTTGGAGGCTCGAAGTAATAGTGTGCTCACAAACCTACTGAATGGTCACTTAATTGTAACTATGTCAGTTCAACAGGTCAATACCGGTTCAAATATCTCGATAGTGACATGTTAGACTGTAGAGCTCTATGATACAGGTTCAAATACAACAACGGTAATCAGTTTAGTTCCAAATTGCAGATACAACTATCTGACGAGTGATAACTAGTATAACTTTAAATCTATGGTTTCCTGCCGACTACTTTAACAAATTAATATATACACGTAAACTTACCGATGCATTAACACTTCTGGTCTTTTTATTCCATAAATTAGACGGAATGAATCTTCGAATATACCAGCTCGTGTAACACGTAATTCAAATTTAGCTTGTGGATCACGTGGAGCTCGTAACCTTGATCGGAAATAATCATACTTTTGTTTATAATTTCTTGAATAAGGAACAGCTGGACCGCCTAGACGTTCTAGACGAGGATCTTCCCACTGAGTAGTTCGAGCATCTATCGAAATTATTTTTAAGAAAAAAACATATAATAAGTTCCACTAAGACTACAGGTACACTTTTCCAACGAGTTCCAAATAGTATGGAACCTTGGTCAAACAGGCTTTCCTTATCGACTACCTCCACATAGCACTATACATACATGTACTGATCAAAACAATCAAGAAAATAGTATGACACAAAAACCAGCAGTAGTAAGTAGATACAGGGCAATTGAAGTACGAATTAGGAGGTAAATATAGCTCGAAGAAATACACTAACCATAATAATAATAATAGTCTGTGCACAATATACATAAATAGGCAAACAAACACACATATGTAGATAGTAATCACAATAGAACAATTTTAAATTAGAAATTAACTTACTATGATTAATGTAGAAAATACGACCATTACTATGTACACGTTCTTCCCAACCAGGCTATTTTTGAGTAGAATAAAATAAAACGAATAAAAATCAAGGGAACACAAAAAGAAACTACATGATGTACAGGTAGAATGAATTTTCTTAAATGTGTAAATATTATTACTTAGTCACAGTCAACTACAACGTAGGACCAGGCACATCCGTTCAAGTTGCCACACCACATTCGCACAACAAGATGAACACCGAATTCATAGAAGCAGTTACTTCAATGGTAGTAATACATAAAAGAAAGATTGAATACAAGGATATAGTACAGGAAGAAAGAATTATTTGGTAGAAAGAAAGATATGAAGCGATTTTAATCTCAGAGTTTAAGGGAAGGTAGAGAGTGCAGACATCCACGCCATTGTGATCGATTCTGAGCCATATCACCAAGAGTCTCCAACCATTCGTTACGATAGTCACAGTGACCACAACCAAGTAGTCTGCATCTACAAACATGGCTCAGACTAGAAGTTAGTGTCTTCAATAACTGATGCCACGTTGACTTGATAATTTCAAAAATCAATTAGGCATTGCATATATTGTTTCTAACTAAAAAAATTAATGATGTAATATTTTTGATAATTGATAAATATTCTGACTGAACATTTAAATACGTTTCCTAAGATTTTCTAGTAACTCCAGGTTAAATCTACACGACAACTTGAACACGAGAGAAAAGGTGTGAAATATGAAAAGAACATTTTACTCCAAGGTTAGTTTATATATTGAAAACTGATGGTATTTATAGTACTTCAGATGACCTTGAGCTTCTAGAGGGTTCTGTGACCCTACCATAGTAGTAAAATAAGCAATCATTCAATTAGGAGTGTGATACGTGACTCTTAGAAACTTCTATTCAATACTGATTTGATAAAATGTTTTCCAGTGTTTTCAGGGCATTTCTGAACCTTTTTCGAAGAATATTCTGGGTGTCCATAACAATAATTATCCCAAATAAACAGAAATAAGAATGTTTGACTTTTTTAAACATCATGTAAGCCATTTATTCCGGTTAATAGTTTATTACATATAAATTTCCCCAGATCAAATATTCAATTACCTCTGACTGATTACGTAAACTATACTCTCGTTAAGAAAAGTGTTCAATGATAACTAGGAAGGCCTTCAGATTATTTAGTTATGTTTTACACTTATTAATAAATAGTAGTTTTAACAAACATAGAAGCAGATATGAAAAGGATTGCCCAGGACAGGGTTGGTTGGAGAATGCTGGTGAGAGGCCTATGCTCCTTTACGAGGAGTAACAGGCGTAAGTAAGTAACTAAGTAAGTAAGCTTTAATAAATAGAGTTGCCTTAGAGAAATTTCGCGCAATTCTTATGAAATTTGTTATTCAGAAGATAAATGAAAACTACACGATTAAATAATCATTTAGTACCAAGAACCCAAACTCTACTGGGATCATTCACTCGAGCTACAAATCTTCCTCACCCTATCAAAGCATTTGCTCTTAATTTGGATTTGTTTCGATGTCCCATGGTTTTAGTCTTTGGTATACAAATAAAAAAGTGACCAAGATAAAAACTTATTTCAAACAAAGAAGGATTTCATCTCGTTAATTGAAGTTTAAATATTGAGAAATACAATCACAAAACTAAAAGAGTACGTTTGATCAAATAATCAAATGTTAGGAATGACACTATGTTACATGTCATTAAAAATTATAATAGTTGAATTCATGAGTCGATTCAAGGAAGATCACTATTGAAAACTTGGAAGCACTGGACGGCCGTTTCGTACTAGTATAGGGACGCAGTAGTGCGCATTCACGATTCCGTACGTGGGACTGGAACCCAAGACCTTCGGCTTCTGTGGTCTAAAGGTTAAGCGTTTGCGCCTAGAGGATCACACTTATTCACTTTCCGTACAAGAAGATTTAATTATTAAACCGGATGGAGGGATGTATTTTGTCATACTCTTTTCTGTTCTAAAGCTATTGTAATTTAAACGTAACCTTTTGTACTCTATTTTTCTACCCTAATGGTCAGTTTGTATTTCTGTAATTGTTTGTGCGTTGTGGTTATGTTAGTCATCTATTTATTCATGTATCTTTTTACACTAATCGGAATCAGGAATAAATCGAGTAGTATTGCAGTTGACTCATCTTTTCACTCTCCCGCCTATTAACCAATTGGATGATAGAAGAGTTTTCGTCTCTGTGTCCAATATCATTACTTCGGACTCCAGCATTTCTAGCCTCAATGTTAAACCAGTTAGCCTGTCGTTTCAAGGTCATCACCCAAATGGAGACAAGTTTTCGCCTGAATATTATTGGGTAGACAGATCAAGGACGTAACAGCATTGGGCAACAAAGACCCAGTTCTAGACGGTAGTTTGGGAAATTGATCTGGCTCACCATTTATGCCAGGTTCCACACTGATTATGATTGACTCAGAATGGAAAATATGAATTCTATCATATTTTATAGCAGGATTGTAAATGTAAGAAATTTCGTCTTGATTTCAAAGAAGTCAGGTGTTGAGTTGATGGAAGACAATAAAAAATACCAGACACTAGAATGAAACATTAGACTTATTTTAATCTTTGGATTTTCACAAATACGATTTCTTTTAAAGGGGTTATAAATATTTCGCCGTTGAAATTTTAGCTAAACCGCGATTAAAAACCCAGAAGAACTAAAGGGTTGTTTCGTCCCAGTACCGGACACCTCAGTGGCGGAAATGTGAATCCAAGATCCCAAACGCGGAAATCAGACCCAAGTTATTCGGTCACACACACGAACACTTTTCCTCTAGACCACTGAGCCAACATCCAACAATGTACATGTCTAGCTTCAATCAATCCATTATCTTGCGTAACCCTTCATCCACTTCATAAGATAGATAACTTTCTGCCACGTGGGATGGATCGAATTCCGCCAGTCATAGCTTCATACAGAACTGCAGGAGTTGCATGTCGAAGCTAGTCCTTAGTGATCATTTGATTGTTGTTAGCATAGGGAATTAGGGGAGATTGTAGTGCTTTCACCGGAACTAGTGAAGTTCAATCCATATCAGGTGACAGAAGTGAATGAGGAGTCACGTGATGGGATGAAATAGCCTTCTACTGCTTCCAGGTTTTCAATGGTGGTTTAGCTAAGATCAGTTCATGATTTCAGCAGTGAAAATACTACAATCTCCACAACTCTCTTATTCTAATAATAAATATTCATCATGTATATATGAGATGCTAAAACATTTTCGGGTTTCAAGCTAAAGCTATAACATCTACCTCTATACACACACACACACAAGTGCACTTACAACTTGTGCAATACAAATAAACACATGCATGAGCTGTGAATAAATAAATTCTCCTATACACATGATAATATATATAAACACACACACACACACATCAATCTATGACAAACAATATTTATTTAATGACACTTGTAAATAGAATAATGGACAAATCTGTTGTCATAGCAAGAGACACAGGGCGAGAGAGAGAGGATACAGAAACGAATCCATGATGTATATATCACAACAAATCAATCAATGCATTTTTTGTTTGTTTGTTTGTTTGTATAAATTAAAACGAGCAAGATGTGAAACGAAATCATCTTCACACTTCATATGAATAAGACAGAGAATGAATAATCATAAATGGTCAAGTCTAATAAAATAGAATGATGTTTATTTATTTGGTAAACAGTTGTGTGTGTGTGTGTTATTAAACAGAATGATTTATTTACATATTGTAGTTATTTGTTTATGTTGGATACGACAACATGTCCTAGTGCATAGGTTCTCTACAAAGGTGAGAGTTCCATTCTTTATTTTGCATCTAATCAGCTCTAGTCATTCTACTGATTGACAGGTTGGTTTTACGGTTATTTATATAAATCACATATAAATCCAACCTGGATTTCTTTGTATCCAACTCTTTAAAACAGTAGAAGCTCTTGATAACCATGAGTAGAATCCAGAACTGTACGCACAAAAAAACTACATATTATCGTTATCTTAGCCTTAGACTATTACTATAATATTTCGTATTTGAAATGATCACCCCTCTCTCTATCTCATATTCTCATGGTTTAATACATAATAATTTCTGTTATTACTTAATTTCATTTTTACCCCTCTGTTACCTTTAATTATTGTTAGCAAAAACATATGGATGCCGGCTCAGTGGTCTAGTGGTTAAGTGCTCTCGCGCGAGACTGATAGGTCCTGGGTTTGAATCTCGCGAGCCGAGGTCGTGGATGCGCACTGCTGAGGAGTCCTGCAATCGGACGAAACGACCGTTCAGTGCTTCCAGGTTTTCCATAGTGATCTAGCTTCAATTAACTCATGATCTCAACTATTGAAAAGCATTTTAATCATCTTACTTCATTCACATTATAATTCGTCAACTAACTTACAAGGTGATCTCTATTTGCACAAATACAATCTTTTATTGTTATTATTCATATTAAGTAATCTAGCATTGTAATCTTTCTATTACGTCATCATATTAATCACAGAATAGTTTAATAAAAATTATCAATGGTTAAGATCACGAGTCAGTTGAAGCTAGACCACCATGGAAAACCTGGAAGCACTGGACGGCCGTTTCGTCCTGGGACTCCTCAGCAGTGCGCATCCATACATATATACGATTGTACAGTTTGACAATAAATTAAAAAAGATAGATTCAGTGAAGAGTTCTCTTTTTGGCGAATTCATTTTCAAAGCTGTACAATCGCAGATATACATATATACTTATTTTTCCAAAGTAATAATAATTACAAATAATAGTGATAATTCCGGATTCCCTTACCAAACTACAGCGGAGTGGCTGGCAAATCTCATAGAACCGATAGGAAAACGTATTTATATACACTCCTTACACGGTACGCTAGAATTCATTGAATACATATACGGAGTGTCAAATCACTATTCACTAATGTTCTACTGATAGAGATCATCACTTTTATGTGCAAATACATAAACCATAATAATAGGAATTACTACTACGGAACGATGATAAATGTTGACTGAATGCATCCAATTTATAAAGTACAAGCTTGTTGACTCATTTTTAAGCCGAATTACATGTATGTTCGGCAAATAATTTGACCTAGGGTTTCCTCACACCAAAACATATCCCGGTTAGGTTAGGAAGCTGAGACCAGACCGCTAAAACGCAATCTCTATCTAGAGTTATGTAACCTTAGTGAAATTATTAAAAGTGTAATTATTGATTAAAAAAGCAGAGAGCGATTTAGAAAAATCGCTAACAAAAATGAAAAAGTGATAATTTGTCTTACCGGTAATGGGCCTAGATCTTTCATTACATGTCGTTGTGCTTCATGTGTTAATAAAGAACCATTGGTTATTTGATTATTTGGTCGGATAACCCTGGGATCATCCTAAGATTTGAGAATAATGAGAAATTAAATAATGATGTAAGAATTCATTAAGCACAATGATACAGTGTAAGTGAATTTGATAGTTTACATATTGAACTGGTTTCATCAAAACAGCCACTGAACACTAAGAAAAACTGGACGGATATTTCGTTCTACTGTAGTATTACTACTTCTCAGAAGCGCATAAAAACGATCACATAGCACTGGGGATTATTTACTATTATTTAAACACATAAACATTGGTAGAGAAAAAAGCACAGAAATATATACGTGCCACACAAATCATTAACTTTGTATATGGGCTGGAATGCTGTCCGAGTGCTAAAAACTTAGAGATCTAATCCAAAAGATAGTGGAGCAACTTTAGGAGATGTGGTCACATGATAGCCGGTGACCAACAACAGGTTCATTCTCCATTTGTTCCTTCGGGAGTCTGAAGCCAATGTGCATCAGTGGATCGGAATTAGGGTTTTCCAAATGCACCAAGTGGATACACAGTATCCACCAAACCGGAAATTCGCTTTTCAACACGTCAATTTCATAAACAACAACCACTCCACGAGAAAACAGTGAGCAGGACCTCCTTGACGGCAACTACGAACGCGTGGCTATATGATGTCATTTCGAATAGAGGAGAGGACTCTCTTCACCCTCAACTGTACCGGGGATAGAACCCAGGACATTAAGCCTAGCAACGAGGCTTTGATTTTTGAACAAACGAGCCGCCACACAACGTTTCATTTATCTAACTTCAATCGGTTCATGATAATGTACAACTAGATTAGTTAGCTGCCTCACACATTCAAGATACGGTGACAGGTTTAAAATAGAACCCTGTAGATTACTTTATGAAATTTATTGGTCAATTAACAAAAACAAACAAAATAGGACTTTAAAAAACCGGTCGTGAATGGATTATTGAATTAAATTATAAACTAAAGACAATCCTAAACTTCAGAAAGCACTTCAGTATTATTATTGGTAGTAGTAGTAGTGTTGTGAACAGAATACGAGTAGGGGATAATCGAATGTATTTGAGCACAAAATTACAGAGCATCTCAATAAAATCTGAGAACTATATAGTAAATCGTTAATATGCAAAATATCAATTCATCATCTCAAACTTGACTGTTCCTGTTGCAAACATCAATCCATTGTCTCAGATTTCATTGTTCATGCGTTTTCATACCAATTGTGTTTCGTTCCCGTTCTTTCCTTATCGACCTTCTACTGAAATACATTATATACCTGACCACCGTTATATACTACTTGTGTGGATATAAGTAACCCACACCACAGTAGTAGTACTAGTAGTATTCATAGTAATAGTGAGTTTTTCAACAATACTACCAATGCAATTATACAACGTGCAGAAAACACATTTTGTAATCACATGTTATTATCACAGGATCCAAATTGAAATAATGAAAATACTTAAATAAGTACGCTACTGATGAACATAGAAGAGGAGAACAATTAAAGTTTGTTTTTTCAAAAAAACCAATGAAAAGATCGATTTGGTTTACTAAGAATATAATCACAATGGATTTATCTATACAAAAACATATAACATGAAAGTATTACTTTGACACGATTATAGATTGACCGAAACGAAAACAATCTATGAAGTAGATTTCAATAAACACACACACACACAGCTGCACAGTCAATTAAACAACTTCGCAACGGAAAAGTGAGTATACCGTGTAGCAGTCAGCTCTGTATTATTCTCGCTCCTGCTTTACGACTAAGTAACATGATCTATGAAAGTAGATTTGTATGAACTGCAGGTTTTGAAGCATTATTCGTATGTATAACGAGTGAGTAATGCTGAGACTAAACGCAGAGTAATAGATAATGGTAAATCGACTGATAAGATAGTGAACGAACACTGACTGAAGTGGTTCGAACATTTATCTTATATACTCAACCAAAGCCTATTTCAAAGCAGGATATTAACTGGTGTCGGAGTAGATTGAGAGAAAGTTATCGGCTGGACAAACCAAGATATAGCATAAGTTCATGGGGTTATTGACTGTTGGATTGACTCACATTGATAGGTCTAGTTTATCTGATTGGTGACTAAGCAATAAACGTAACCAATAGTTGGTGTTTAATAAATAGCTAGGAGTCACTCACAATGGGTAAATACCTATTCACTGGTTATGTTTCCCTTAGTTATTGAGTCCTGATATTATTATGTACCCTTCTTATTCTATGAAGTCATTCTTTCTTTTCAAAACCTAAAACTAATCCAAAATCATTCTTGTTTCACTAACATTGACAACTTTATCTGATTGTGTATAGCTCACATACATTAACCAACAATTAATGAATCGAACATAATTACCCTCCAAATATATAATCATGAATGAAGGATGAAAAACCAAAAAAAGAGACAAAAGAATATACGTTCAACGTATTGCACACAGTTTAGTGCACAACTGATATATGCTATTTTCTTATTAGATTAATTTGCTGATGAGACTATAATTTATGGACGACCTTTGAGCGACGCTAGACTGACCACCTAATAACTAGGACCAAATGAGGGTTATAAACCAGTGTGAGGAATTCGAATTATGATTTACAGTTGATGATTAAGGTTAAAAATTAGATTTCAGGCTTTCATCACGAACTGACATCAGCTATAATGCCAAACCTTTATTTAGCCAAATGGATGAATGAATTTTGCGCCAAAATCCAAGATCTGTTATCTTATATGCAATTGGTTCGTCCATAAATTATAGTCTCGCTAATTTATTTAACTGAAGACTCTAAACACAGTAGATAGATGAACGTAACATCTCATATGCAAATAGTATTGCCTACGGTGATTCCTTTTTTTAGATTCAGTCAGTCAGTCAGTCAGCTACAACGTAGGACCAGGCACATATGTGCATCGTTCCAGGTTGCCATACCTCATTAGCACAGCAAGATGAACACCGGATTCATAGCAGTGGTTAGGTCAAAGGTTGCAATAAGGATATAGTATAGGAAGAAAGAATTAGTTCGTAGAAAGAAAGATATGAAGTGATTTTAATCTCTTAGTTTAAGGGAAGACAGGGAGTGTATACACCGACGCCATTGTGATCGATTCTGAGCCATGTCACACAGAGTCTCCAATCATTGGTTACGAAAGTCACGCGGACCCCAACCAAGTAGTCTGCATCTACCAACATGGCTCAGACTAGAAGTTAGTGACTTCAGGCACTGATGCCACGTTTTGGTTTGGCCACCCCTAACTTTCTTCCAACCATCCCGAACACCGGTTAGCATTGCACGTCGTGGTAATCGGTGTTCAGGCATACGTAATACGTGGCCCAACCATCTCAGTCGATGAAGATTCATAACCTCATCAACTGATTTACCATCATTCCCTAATACCCTGCGTCTAACCTCACTATTACTTACCCGGTGATCCCAGCAGATGCCAGCAATATTTCTAAGGCATCTGTGGTCAAATACTAGTAGCTTACGAGTGTCTTCTACTCTTAAAGGCCATGTTTCGCTGCCGTAAATTAAAACAGAACGGACTGCCGCGCAGTATACTCGTCCTTTTATTGATAGACGGATATCTCGCCTCCGCCAAAGGTGACGTAAGTTGGCAAAAGCCAAACGAGCTTTTCGAATCCGTGCTGAGATTTCGTCAGACACCAACCCATTAGGGCTGATCAGACTTCCAAGATAAGTGAAGTTGTCGACGCGCTCGACTACTTCACTCCCTATCCTTAGTTCAGGTTAAGTACAGAAGTTGTATTACATATAATTAATCCTAGTAATTATTAATTAAAGTAACAATTATTACAAGTGAAATAATAACTTACCCAAGTAGTAGTATGTTCATTATGATTAATGAAAAATTTTCGACCACTTGCAGTTCTAGCTAATTCCCAACCTTCTGGAAGTGGTTCTTCACCTGGAGCAATATCTAAGCCTAAAACTATTTCACCAATTCGACGATTTTTATCTACATGATCTATACCTTGTTCATTAGGTGAAGATTCTATTCGTGAGGTAGGATTTGTTATTGTTATTGCTGAACTAGACGGATCTGTTAATTGAATGGTATTTGTGTCAGAATTTGATGAACTTGGTGGAATTAATTGACAATTTGAATCTAATAAGGAAGAAAAAAATGTGTACAAAGAAAATGTACCAACATGACGTAAGATAAATTTTGAATTGTAATACATGAATGAATAATTATCAGTATTAGAATTCACGAGTTGATCTAAGCTAGACCCCCAGTAAAAACCTGAACCCACAGGACAGCCGTTTCGTCCCGCGTGCGGGATCGTGGATACACACTACTGAGTCCCATGACCGTCCAGTGCTCCCAGATTTTAAATAGTAGTCTAGCTTAGATAGACCCATGAATTCGACTGTGAGAATGAATAATTATTGACTATTTATTGGTTTTACGAGTTTTAGGATAATTCCTTCGGGAAATAATTAGAAGTCAGAAAAATACTAAAACTGATTTGAATAATAGACGTTTTATAGAAAAAATTTCTGAAAAAATGTAGAAAACGATAGATTATGCTTTAATTGTCCTGATTGAATGATCATCGGATATGTTTTCCAGAAGCTTCCAAAATATTGAAGCCATCAGGAACATCATATAAATGCTTTAGCCTTCAAATAAAAATCTTTCTCAACACTTTATTTAAATATATGAACATAGGAACAAGAAGGCACCAAATAGATATGCGCCACATAAATCATTCGATTTGTGTGAGAGCTGTGATACTGCCTGGGTGCCCAAACCGAAGCAGGTCATTTTCTTGGGGGACCACACCCAGAGCCTTCAACGTAAAGGTCTAATCCACAAGACAGTGTAGCAACGTCAGGAGATGCAGTTCCATGGCAGCCTGTGACCAACGATTGGTTCACACACCATTTGTTTCTTCAGGAACCTGTAGCCCATGTACACCATTAGTTTGGAATGAGGGTTTTCCAACTGCCCTAGATGTATCCTGTATATCCACCAACCCGGTTAAAACATCGGATATTCGCTTTTCGTCCCCTCGATTCTGTAAACAAAAGTAATGCCAAGAGAAGGCAATGAGTAGGACTTCCCTTGCAGTGGTCATGTGAGAGCATTTAGAGAGAGAGAGAGAGATCTGACTCTCTCCACTCTCGATCGTACCAAGGCATTTTGGGGCAGACACTTATTACCTTTTTGCTTTTTTTTCTACGAAGTTCAAAAGAAAGAAAAGTGAGTGGTTCTAGGGGATTAGGAAGCAGTTAGGAAGTCAGTGTATTCAAGTATTCAAATAAACAAAATATATAGCTGATATAATCTTGTACAAATTTGTATTACTAAATTACATAATACCAATATTAACCAGCAGCTAAAAACAAACAAACAAACAAGTCGTTCGTTAAATAAACAAACTAATTCTATCATTCAACACTTCATAAATGGAATACGTTTTCTTACTGTACATGTATATACACTTCCAAACATTCAACAACAATCAACATACGATATTATAAAATATAATCTTGTACTCTTATTAAAGCAATAACATCAAAGTTCTCAATAGTTTATAAAGCAACCCAGGTAAATTAAATCTGGTTTATAGCTTAATTGAATAATAAAAGAATATTAATCAGGAAGAAGCGCTGGAAGTGGATAGGATACACATTGAAGAAAGCTTCCAACTACGTCACAAGGCAAGTCCTCAATTGGAATTGTCAAGACTGAAGGAAAAGTGGAAGACCAAAGAACATATTACGTTGAGAAATGTAGATAGATATGAGAAGAATGAACAACAATTGAATAGAACTAGAAAGGAAGACCCAAGACAAAGTGAGTTGGAGAATGCTGGTCAGCAGCCTCTGCTCTATTGTGGATAACAGGCGTAAGTAAATAAGTAATTGTTTTCTCTTTCAAGGTGGTTATTCTAAAATACAGAATAGTGAGTAGAATAGATAATAGTCAGTTCATTCAGTCAGTGACAAGGTTGAACTTTGTATTTACGTACATCAGTTCGAGTTGCCATATCACATTAGCACAGAGATGCAGTTGTCGATTCAAATCCCGTAGTGGTAGTGGCAGTAAGAGTATAAGCAGTAATCGGAAACATTAGGATTTGAAGATCATATTAGAATCGATAATATAATACACATAGTGAACCGTCCTTTTTTGAACATGAGTAAGAACAGATTCTGATAATAAAGTAAAGATGGGAAATCGAGCAAACAAATTAAGACATGACATTAATTGGTGAAGTTATTGATTGTTGAAATATAGATCATATCGATAGAAACAAACTATCTAGTAAAAGGTTCGCATAAGAATCGATGTAAATGATTATGAGACCGTTAGGTGACACGGTGCGTAAGTGTATTGTTATTATTAGTATAAATGGATTTGTGAAGATTGTAGAATTTTTATTATTTTTAACATGAACAGATCTTAGCTAAACCACCATTAAGAACCTGAACGTTAAGGACAGCCGATTGGTTCTAGCTTCAGACTTCTCAATACCAGTGAATATCCACGATCTCGCATCCTAAAATCAAACCAATGACCTTTAATCTTGTACGTGGACGTTTAAACTCTGAATTAGTGAAATGGCTTTCAATGTAGCACATGTCAAACTATTTTTACTCAACGTTATTTCATAGTTTTTATCCTTGAATACTTAATTATTACTTTCCAAACCATATTTTGTATTCACTTGGTGATATTTTACTAGTAGCGAACGATACTGGGTTCGAGTCCCAGAGTGAACATAAACTCTGTGATGCAAGTACATCCAGCTGACGAGTCCCAAATAGGACGAAACGCGCGTCATGGATTCCACTGCTAGCCACTATCCATCTTTGCATATTTTGTATGTTTAATTTCGTTTTAATTATCACTGATGTCACTTTGATTCTCTCGAGTTGTTTTTTTTTAAAATTCATCTCTTGGAAAGCATAAAAACTAGGTTCAGTAGAGATTTCCATCAACTATGTTCAATCAGCGAACGTCTCGATATATTGTAGGACAAGGCTGAGTCATTCAAATTAATGACTACACTGTAACTTGATTGATAGAATTCGAGAAGTACTGAAGAACTAGAAAATTTACGATATTAAACACAACACTGTTGTAAATGCAATAATAAAAACTTGAATTAATGTGTATTTGTGTTTAGTAGTGTGTTATTTCTGACTGACAAGGGTTACACACACATAGATATAAAATTAACCCTGAATGTTAATTAATAATTAAATGGTATTGATAAATTATGCTCAAAATAATAGCTCTGAATGATATAGAACAAATTAGGCTTCTATCATCTAATAACTGGATAATAACAAATATCAACACAAAACTATGTAAGTCAGTTAGCTACAATGTAAGACCTGACACATATAGGCATCGGTCCAAGTTCCCACACTTCATTAGCACAACAAAATGACCACCAAATTCATAGTAGTTACTTCAATGGTAGTAATATATAAAAGATTATGTATAAGGATAGAATACAGGGAAAAAGAAGTAGTTCGTAGAAAGAAAGGTATGAAGTGATTTTAATCTCTTAGTTTAAGGGAAGACAAAGAGTGTATACACCTACGCCATTGGGATCAACCCTGAAACATGTCACTTAGTCTCCAACCACTGGTTACGATAGTCGCTCAGACCCCAAACTGATTAGTCTGTATCTACCAAAATATCTAAGACAAGAAGTAAATGACTTTATGGACTGATGCCACGTTTTGGTTTGGTCAACCCTAACTTTCTTCCAACCATCCCGAACACCGGTTAGCATTGCACGTCGTGGTAATCGGTGTTCAGGCATACGTAACACGTGGCCCAACCATCTCAGTCGATGAAGATTCACAACCTCATCAACTGATTTACCATCATTCCCTAATACCCTGAGTCTAACCTCACTATTAATTACCCGGTGATTCCAGCAGATGTGGGCAATATTTCTAAGGCATCTGTAGTGAAATACTAGTAGCTTACGAGTATCTTCTACTCTTAATGGCCACGTCTCGCAACTGTAAACTAGAATAGAACGAACTGCTAAGCAGTATACTCGTCCCTTAATTCATATATGGGTATCTCACCTTCGCCATATGTGACGTAAGTTATTCAACATAGAAATAATAAAACGAAGATTTTTGGATATCGCATAAATATTATGATGTATTAAACCAATGAATAAGGAAGTGAATTGAATATGAATCACAAGTCAAAATAATAACCCTCTATTCCTGAACTATAGTTCAGTAAACATTGTGATTCACAAAATCTAAAAACGTCAATGTTATTATCGATTTTAGGCAATGAAATCAATCGATCAATCTCTATTAGTTACACATCCTCTAAAGTTATCAGTCAACATTTTTGGAAATGCTAGACTGTGGTTAATTGGTTAAAAATCCCTAGTTGGTAAACCATATATCAATCATCATTAATAAATGATGAAATTAGTTTTAAGTAAGCGAGAAACAAAAAAAAAAACACAGAACTAATTTATCATGCGCTAAATCATTATCAACACGACGTGGTGTTGTTGTTGTTTTGTTTTAATAATTTGTCTCTATAGAAATCAATGTTTATTTCATATTTCATTCACATTTCTTTCCAATAGGATAGATTTCATCATTTACTTAAGTCTAATGAACATGTTGACATTGAACATGTGGAAAATAATTTATGATGATGTACAAAATCATTGGATGAATATATTAGTGATTGATATTATGTTTATCTAGTCGGTTAGTGTTACAGATCAAATTCTATCGATTAAGTTACCATAATCATTAAATCCATCATACTGCTTAATGTACATTGTATATATTATCCTCAATAAACATTTATCCTACCGTTAGATTGGATGATAGCTAAAAATCGATATGATTGTTGAATAGCATTCTAGTATCAGAAGACGTTTAGTGGATATTATAGTAATTTTTTTTAAATGGTTGAGATTATGAGTCAATTGGAGCTAGACCACCATGGAAAACCTGGAAGTACTGGACGGCCGTTTAGTCCTATTGTGGGATTCCTCAGCAGTGCGCATCCACGATCCCGCCCCCCCACGAGATTCGAACCCAGGACCTATCGGTCTCGCGCGAGAGCGCTTAACATCTAGACCATTGTGCCGA